TTGCAGGAAGGACCGATTCCTTAAAAGATTTCAATGAACTTGCTCACCCCCACCCACCACTTCTTTTGGGACTAGTTTCTGAACCAAAGCTTTCCTCAGGAAAAAACAAAAAAACAAAACAAAACAACAACAACAAAAAAAAACTTCTCTACAAATCAGAAGGGGTTTCACATATGATGACTCTAGCAGGGTTAAACCATCATTGTGTGTTTACTAATTAATACTAATTTGCTTTCAGTGTTTTTGAGATGAACATCCTATACCAGGTAAAATGATAATTTATCTCTCAACTGTATTCACTAGTATTATTGTCCCTGAAGAGATCACACATTAAAATGAGAAAGAAAAAGAAAGACAAAGTAAGAAGTTATGGCTGGAAAGTCTAATATAGTTATCTCAGCTGATCTAATTGAAATTTGTTCCAAAGCTAAAATCGTTTTTATATTATTGTGTTATTTTGAAAATACCCCTACAGCCAGGGCTGTTACACAGAGAAACTCTGCCTCAAAAAACCAAAACCAACCAAACAAAAACAAACAAACAAAACCCCACTTTGATTGATTTCTTGGACAGCTTTAAACTTAGCTGTAAAAACCAACACAAGCTAATTAAAGATTTATAAGCTCAATAAGAGCTGTATCAGTGACATATATTCTATAATAATTTCATCTTTTAAAAATTTTTAAATTACACTTTTTATGCATTCATGTGTGTGTGTATGTGGGCACATTCATGCCACAGTACATATGTGGACAGTGGTTTGAAGCTAAGAGCCTTTATACACTAAGCTATCTCTATCCTTCTTCCATAATTTTATAGAACCCACAAACACCCAGAAGGTATAGTCACATAAAGATTTTGGTCTCAGAAGGTCAAGAATATAGTTCAGTGCTAGACTGAACTATATAGACTATATAGACTGTACTTTATAGCATGTACAACAACCTAGGTATTTTAACAACATCAACAACAAGCAATAGCAACAACAATAACAACACACACACACTAAAGAATGCACAGAAATGACACACAAGATTTGGAATTTGAAAAAGAAAATAATTAGCAAATACTAAGTTGCTTATTAGTATTTTTGAGATGAACATTTTATGCCAGGTTGAAATGACAATGTATCTCTCCACTGTACTCATTAATACTGCTGTCCCTGAATTGATAACACATTAAAATTAGAAAGAAAAAAAAGGCAAAATAAAGATATGGTTGGAAGGGTAAAGTATAATATAATTAATTACCTCAGCTAATTTATCAAATTACCAAAAGAATGTCAAAACACTTGGAAAAACTAAACCTAACACTTCAAACACACTCCATATTGTTTTCAAACAGAGAAACTTGTAATGCAACTCTTGTAATGTGGAGGACTTTTTGGGGGGGGGGTAAATATTCTTTAAATATTCTCCTGAACTTTGTCACATGGAGGTTAACAAGATTCAAAGTACAGCTGTCCTACAGATTATCTCTGTCTTATTCATCTGAGATACTAGTTAAGCTTAAGAATTTAGCTCTCATGTGAGAGAACCTTAGTAAAATCAGGTAACAGCACTAACTTGCATTCCTGCTGTGATCACCTACATTTAAGAGTCTAGATTTACTTGATTTAACATTCAGCAATTAATTATTGGACATTTACTATGCCCAACTTTATTCAGGTTTTTCTACTGGGCTTTAGAAATGGGCACAGGTACAACCCTTTTCCTTTATGGAAGGTGTACTTCTTCTCTTCTGCTGGGTTAGAGACAGGGAAAGCCCCACCTAAAGGACTAGGCTAAGTCGAGACTCTGCTGGTAGCTATAGATGACCCTTGAATAAACCTGGATAGATACTCACTAGCAAACAATGTTATTATGTCAGCCAAGGAAGATTTCTCTCTCCCTTCCAGTGTGTGTGTGTGTGTGTGTGTGTTATATGCTTGTAGGAGCATGCGTGTTTAGAGGTGCTGACTCGTTTGTGTGCGCAGAGGCCAGAGATTGATGCTAGCTTTCTTTCACTATCATTGTCCACCTTATTTTTTGAGATGGTCTCTTACTGAACCAGGCACTCACTGTTTCAGTTAGACTGGTTGTCCAGTAAGCTCCCAGGCCTTGCCTGTCTCTTTCCCTCAGAGTTGGGGAATTATACACACAGTACCATTCCCCAGTTCCAGGTGAGCATCTGAACTTGTGTCCTCATGTCTTCACAGCAAATGCTTAGTAGCTCAGACCAGTAGGAAGACGATTCCAGCACTTCTAGCAACAGCTGAAATGCCAAAAAAACAAAAATATGACCCCAATTTCTCAGGGCCAGGAATGTACTGGCACAATTAGGACCCAGATGTTACCAAGCCAAGTCAGTTTTGGATGACAATGTAGCTGTCTAGAGGCTAAGTTTAAAGCAGAGCGGGGTGGCTCTCACCTGTACTCACAGCACTCAGAGGGCTGAGGCAGGAAGAGGACTGGGAGGCTGAGGCCGTCTAGGCTATGGAGAGAGACCCACGCCAAAAGCTCCAAACCAAAACAAGCTGTGTTACAGACAACGGGGAACCACCTGCTAGAGATGTGAGAACCATCACCATCACCCGAGACAAACGGTCAAGACAAAGACATTTCTCCCTAGGTTAAAAAAAAAAAAAAGGTCAGAAGAGAGACAGCAAGAGAGATGTAGAAATCAAGTGTGGTTTTTAAGGAATGGTCTGAACTGATTTATTGGAGTGGAGTGATTGAGGAGACCACTTATAAAGCTTTTAAGACAGGGAAAAAGCTTTCAGAGAGCGTATGCCCTGTGTCTAAGCAACCAACCGAGCAGTTTCACAGAGGAAGAATCATGCTGGGTTTTATATGAAAACCGGAAGGATAATAGAGGAAGAACAGGCCAAGTGACACAATCAGACCATAAAAGCATTAAAGCGTAACTCAGAGATTTAACATGGAAAATATTAACAGACCCTGCCTACTTGCCCACCAATGCAAACGCCACACATCCAGAAGCAACCACTGGATCCTCCTCCCCTCCCCACTCCTGATTCTGCCTTTTAAGAGATCTGGGCTGAAAAAAAAAAAAAAAATCAACAAAAAACCTTCGATTTCAATGTTAATTTCAACCTCCATCCAACATAAAATAATCGCAATCACTGGTTATTAATTTTTTTAGTTTCCTTCTAAAAATTAAAACATTTCCATATGTGCAGCATTACAAAGTTTGAAAGCACAGTAGCAGCCGACATAAAAAAAACCTTTGTGTTTTTTTCATATGGTGCATATTTCTACGGTTTTTCTATTTATTCAAAGCCTTTTATTTTGAATACTGCCATGCTGGCCAGCTCGTCTAACCAACCTCACAGCTGAGTAGCAGTGTGCTCAGGAGGAGGGTGACCTAAAGGCCTGCTTTCCAGGAACTGCCTGCCTGCAGGAACCTGCCAGAAGCATGGGACAGTAGGTCTAGGAGGAAACACTGGGCTCAGAAAAGCAGCAGTTCAATTATTTCCCAGCAAGTTAGTGAAAATGTGTTTAAGAACATCTCAGCAGCAGCATGAATGGTGCAGGAGGCTGTAATCCCAGCACTAAGGAAGCAGACATCCCAAGTTTGAGGCCACTGCCACCAGGCCACCAGTACCACAATAGGTTCTTGATCAGGAACAGTAAAGGAATGGGCTAGAGAGGCTGAGTTCTCCGGCAGATGAACTAGTTCTTCTAGACTACACAATGTCAGCAGAGCACGGGCCACTTTCTGGAACAACCTCCATCTCCAGGTTGCCTTAGTTTCAAAACATCTACATACTCTAGTCACATTAAGCATTTTCTTTTCAAAGCACATAAGGATCGTTCGTTTGGCAACTTGGCATGCCCCTCTCTGCTGAACTGTACTGATGGACTCAGGGGGAGGGAAAGACACTGTCTTTAGTTGTGTACCCACAGATGTAGCAAACCCTTGAACATACAGACAGCCCTGGTTAAACTCATCATGCATGCACACACGCACACACACATGCACGCACGCGCACACACACACATACAACATGAGCGTGGGGGAAAAACTGGGGCGTCAACAGTAGTGGTATGAAGAAAATAGAGGGTGAGGAGTTAGTAATTAAAATGCTATCTATATAAAATTGACAAAAATAAAAGTAAAGTGAAAACAAATGGTTGTTGGATAGAAACCATTAGATCACTCAACATAAGTTTGATTCTGGGGGCTGGAGAGATGGTCAGTAGTTAAGAGCACTGGCTGCTCTTCCAGAGGACTCGGGTTCAATTCCCAGCATGCACATGGTGGCTTCCAACAGTCTAACTCCAGGTCTAGGGGAATCAGACACCCTCACAAAGACACACATCAAAACACTGTAAAAAAGGAGTTCTTAAATGCACATAAAATAAAAATAATGAATTTTAAAAAGCAAAAAAAAAAAAAAAAAAAAAAAAAAAAAAAAGTCCAGTTCTGAAAAAAGCAAACAAAAGATATCAAATATAGGAAGGGCCGGCACAGGCCTCCATAGCCACCGTTCTAGAACATGGGACTGCTCTTCCTCTGAGTGCCACTTCCTGGTGAGCCAGTCTTGTGACTCAGCTTGCCAGGTGGCTGCAGGCAAACACTAGAGCAGCTGACGGTTCACAAGGGCCTCTGGTGACAAGAGGAAAAGGCAGGGACCTGGCATCGGCCTCTGCCTTTCCTGTCTGTAAAGTCAGCAGCAGGAAGTAGTATCAAGTCTCATACCTTTGGACCTAAAAAAGGGACCACGTTTACTGTCCTTGCACTGCTTTTCCCTTTTTGGTTTTGTAGATTGCAGGTCTGCGGATGACTGCTTTAGTCCTAAGCTTGGCTCACACACTAGGCGCCTTCAGCCACCAGCCGCCAGCCAAATACCCAAACGCACACCCAACAGCACACAGGTATGCCTATTCTCTCAGTATTAAGTGTCTAGTGTCTCTAGTCTTAGAGCAGAAAGATTAGCATTTCAACAAAGCCATCACTTAATGACCAGGCACACGCGATGCAGAGGCTTGAACTACCTAGCTGCTTTTCTCGTTCCTCACGGCGTTCACGGGCCAGACGCTGCCGATCATCAACCCGTAGCACAGGCGGGGGATCTGAAATGAGACAAAGGAGGAGGATGAATTTTAAAAATGTACACACTGGTAGACAACTTTTGTTAGAAATATTTGAAGAATGAGGGCTGAAGCAAGGGCTGAGTGGTTAAGAACAATTAATTATTCACTTTTGCCGAGGACCTGAGTTTGGGCCCCAGCAACACATCTGGGAGGTGAGGGTGTGTGTGTTGGGTGTTACAACTGCCCGTGCTCCAGCCCCAAGGATCTCACAAGCTCTTCTGGCCTCCGTGGGCACTCATTCCCATTACACACGCCAACACCCCTCCCCCTCCCCCCGACATACATACACATATAATTAATTTTTAAAAATGTTTGATGTATGGTTTCTGTGTAGCCCTGGTTGACCTAGAACTTGTTCTTGTAGACCAGGCTGGCCTAGAACTATGTACTACCATGCACAGCCTACATAATTAAATTTTAAAAAAATTTTACTGAAATATTAATATTCTTATGAAAATTAGTATGTGTCTACACTCAGTGATATGCTTTGTTATCATTACTTTTCTGAGAGTGCCCAAGTATTTTAAAGCATTGGCAAGCTGGTATGTATTGAATACTTTGATTCCCTGCATCATCATCAGGAAAAAAACAAGAATCAAGTAAAGTCACAATTTTTCTGAAGCCCTTTGATATTTTCAACAGATAGTGTTTGTGTCACTTAGCTATCTGATTTCTATTATTCTTATTTATCAGATCTAATATGGAGAATTTCCACGTCAGATTGGAATATAGCTAGTCAGTGATACAAGGCCTGCCTAGCTTATTGTGCTCTATGGCACAATAAAAACAAACAAAACCAAAAGGGACTTCTACTTTCATAGGGTGCGCACATGAATGTGGGGAGTTGAGAGTCTACTAGAGTAAATCAGTCCCATGGGGACAGAGCACCCTCTCCAGTTCCAGGCACAGAGAAACCTCCGATAAGTACTTGTCCTTGGTGGGAATGTGGGTGGGCAGATGTGGCTGAGTAAAAGGGAGATCTCAGCCTGCTCACTAAAGTGCAGCTGACACGGTTCAAGCAACAGTATCTATCCACTGCTGTCTTCCGCCTAAACGACAAGCCGGATTTACCTTCTTCAATAAAGGTGATTTCCACATGTCAAAAAGACAAAACAAAGTAGAATGGATATTGTTTTGTGAGCCTGGACCCAGACATTTCTGTCTTTATTGATGCATGGAAGTTGAGTGGTCTGGCCTGAATAATGTATGGAAACCCTGTGGACTGCATCAGCTTTGTGCTGCACGCTCAGCTTGCCTGGGACCCACACAGTGGTTGTGGGGCGCTGGGAAGAAAGTGGCGCTGCCAGTTCAGATGTTTGTATTATGTTTACAGACAGTATGTTTCTTTGTGTCACTGAATGGAACAGATCATGACTCAGGCGATTACATAAAATTATCCTATAGGTAGGTCACAATCACTGCAGGGAACTGAATGAAGGCTAACTACTGTGTGGGTGTCTCTGTAAAGACGTGAGTGGGTTTTCAGAAGTCACAAAAGATACACAATGATGCTGGGCATACAGGCTTGACAACTGCATTATAACTTGGCTTCAAACAGGGCTCCCCACCTGTGGATTGCGACCCCTTTGGAGTTCGAATGACCCTTTCACAGGGATCGCTTAAGACCATTGGAAAACATTGAGATTCTTAACAGTAGCAAAGTTAGTTATGAAGTAGCAACGAGTATAATTTTATGGTTGGGGGTCTCCACAGCATGAGGAACTGTGCTTACAGGGATGCAGCATTAGGAAGGTTGAGAACCACTGTTTTAGATGCTGTTTGATGGTAAATGAATGTGTCCATGAAAGTCATCTCAGTGATTACCAAATGATTTCAAAGGCTTATGTTTCACTTCCATTTTAAAGGAGGGAGCGCTGAGGCAATTGAAAGATTTTACTTTCTGTATCACAAATCTGTGTGAGAGGGTTTTGTTGACAGGAACACGACCAATCACTCCCAAATTCTACCTGTAGTTTGTACTTAACATCATGTGTTCAAGGCTTTTGGAATAACCTTCCCCTTCTCCACATATTATCTTACCTGGTTTATTTCCTGAGTGGTTGGTATTCTGTCCTGAAACTGTAGAAGTGGTGCGGCTGTGGGCAGTTTTCTTTTCTTGTCCTTTGTAGCCATCAGGCACTACAGAGTGAGACAGGAAGAGAGTTCATGAGTTCCTTACAATTAATTCACAAGCATTCAGTCACTCAGCCTCGGCATCAGGTAGGAGGCTAGAGTCAAAAACACAAAGTAGTGGTTACAGTTCTTTTCCATGTTGTTTTGAGACAGTCTTGGGCAGTAGGCACTGGGTTACTCTGGTGTGCTTACTCTGTAGCTCAGGCTGGCCTCAAACTCTCATAAAATCCTCCTGCCTGAGCTCCAGCCTCCTGCTTGAGTGTTGAGATTACAGGAAATACTTCTTTAAAAGCTTACAAGGAGTTGAACACAGATCACCAAAAAGGGAACCAGGAGGTAATATATATTAGGATTTTGAAGAAGGCTCTGGCCCAAATTCAACTAAAAGATAATTAGTATTATTTCAGTTTTCAGCGCTGGGTGTCTGATCACTGTCACACCTGCTAGGCAAGTGCTCTAGTCAGCTGCATCCTCGCTCGGTACAGCAAAGATTCTTAGATATTCCTAGGACAGGAACAAAGGGTGGAAATAACAGGCATTTCTCTGGTTCTTAGAAATATAGGATTCTTGATGGGTGGTGGCGCGCTCGCCTTTAATTCTGGCACCTGGGAGGCAAAAGCAGGCAGATCTCATTGAGTTTGAGGCCAGCCTGGTCTACTAAGTGAGTTCCAGGACAGTCAAGACTGTTACACAGAGAAACCCTGCCTTGAAAAACGAAAGATAGAAAGAAATGGGAGGGGAGGGAGGGAGGGGGGGAGAGATTTTCCAGATCCAGGACAGCTGTTTGACATAAATTCCTTGACTGAACCTGATTTCTAAGGAAGTTTGCTGCAATTTCAGAAATCACAGCAAATCCACGTCCTTCCCCTTTTCCCACCTCTACAGCTGCTCCACCTGCAACACCTCCCTCAGTTCAGCCACTCTGCTTTCCCAGACATACAGGTTCAAGCCGCAAGAGTCATCATTGGCTTCTTTTTATCCCCGGTGTTTAATTCATTAATTCTCTCTAATTTTCCTCGGGAAGCATCTCACCACTTCCAATCACTTTGCTTATCTACCTGACCTTGCCATGGCCCCTTTAGTCTGTCCTCACTTCATAGTCTCCCTCTGCTCAAAACTCTCCAACACCACCTCCCATTCTGCCCAGAGTAAAATCCAAGGTCTCTACCATGGCCCGAAAGACATGGTGTGGTTTCCTCTTGATGGGGTAACACTTCCCATTCTGCTTGGCTCCAGGAGAACCAGCTGCCTCCGTAGTCCATCTCAGACTCTGAGCGTGTACCCCCAAAACTCTTCTCCCAGATGGGGTCAGCGGCTGGGCTCTGTGCTTCACCTTCTTTGCATCTCTGCTCAATTGTGACATCAGAGTCCTTCTGACCTATTTAAAAATGCCGCCCATCTCTCCTCCCTAGCCTGTCTAGTTAGTCCTTACCCATGGGCAGCTTCCTGTTTCCTTTTAAAGGCGGACAGAACAAGGAAGAACAGGGTACCATTTGCTCAAGGGGCTTGAACCTGAACAGTGGGATGGCAATTACACTTCATGAAGACTAAGCTTAAATGAGCTTTCCAAGATGTATTTCTCTCCTCCTTGTTCTCGGAGACAAGGTCTTGGCATCTAGTTTTGGCTGGCCTGCGCTCACAGTGTAAGCTAGTTCATGGCATTGTCCCTGACTTAATCTTCCCAGTGCTGGAATTATAGGCATGTACACTTGGGGGTGGGTACTGAATTTACAAGTGGATTGTAGAGACCCAGCCTTTTCCCTCTGAGGGAGGCAAATGCTAACTTCTTTTGTGGCTGTATTTGGATTACATAAGGAATTTGCTATCTAGGTTTAAACAACCTGTTTGCCTTAAGTGACAGCTTCAAAGATAAACACTGATGAGTGGTTTTCTTTACACACTGGGCTCCTTTTCAACCTTATTTTCTGGAAAGCTTTGTAAAGATTCAGGAAGACCGTATCCTCTGAACTTGATTCTGTAGAAAGGGCTGATGGCATGGCTCAGTGGTAGAGCGCTTGCCCGGAGTATGCCTAAGCCGTCCATCCATCTTCAGCACCGGTGCTGAGGAGGATACAGCAGAATGGGCAGACAGTAAATGAAGTCAAACAGCAGATGTCTTGACCATGGGTTTCTAACTGTACTTGTCACTCAAGGAAACTTTACTTACGCTTGCACTTCCCAGTTGGGAAAGGGTCATGTGTAGTGCACACAGAAGGGAGTGGTGGTGGTGGTTAAATCAGGATAAGCCTAAGTGGACCAGGACCGGCCCTGGCACTGACCCAGCTAAGCAGAAGATGTCAGGACAGCTCCATAATACTGTCCCACGTGCTCTTATTTCAAAACCATGTGGCCAGCAGGTGAAGTCCAGACTGACTAGGGTTGGCCTACAGTCTCATAATTGGAGAGGCAGCCCCTGAAATGACACACTGAAGTGTCTCTGGAACCTCTGTTGTTCACTGTGGTAGAGCAAGAAGTTCCTTCATGTTGTAGGCTAATCTCTCAAAAAGGGCTCATAAGTAATAATTAAGTAGATGTGTCACAGGGACTGGGGAAGAGTGGAGGATTTTTTTATTTTTTATTAACTGTCACTGCCAGCACATAGCAGACTGTTTAACATTGTCCTCCTAAACCTTTACCTCCGAGACAGGATTTCTCTGTGTGTATACCTGGCTGTTCTGTAACTGGATCTGTAACCAGGCTGGCCTGGAACTCACAGAGATCCTCCGCCTCTGCCTTGCCGCTCTGGTAAACCTTTACTTTTATGTTACCTTCTTGAAGTTTTATTATTAGAGGAAATGGGCAGATTCCTAGGGAAAAACCCAACTGTTGCGCACGCGCGCACACGCGCACACACACACACACACAGAGTGAATATTATCACGAAGGCTACTTGAACTTTTTTGCATTATTAAGAATACTATATACACAAATAAAAGGTATTAAAGCACGTGCTCCCTTGAACTGGCTTAGTGCATAGCTGCAAACCCAGCATTTTGCAGACCAAGGGAGAGAAAAGCCAGCTGCAATTTTCAGGAAAATGATCACCTTAATCTTTAGATAACCAGACTATAACAGTACCACTGGCTTAAAATATATTTCACCCGTTTTGGCTTGGTGTCATCACCTAACATCATTTACTTTTTCTGTGCTGACTGGCTTTCTTATGACAAATACCAACTCTAACTGAGTATTATAACAGACCCACAGTACGCATTGCCATTTTTCTGAATAAGCCCTAAGATTACCACAAATGCCAACTCTGAGTATTATAACAGACCCACAGCACGTGCTCAGTGGGAGTCATGTTTCTGAATAAGCTTCCCTCTTTTGCTTGATTCTAGTTTGCTTCATTGTACAAAAAGCCAAATGTGAAAGATAAATTTTATGCTCAACAGCCTTAGGGAAATGAAGTGAACATTACATTGAGGCTGGGGGTGTCACTCACTGGTTAGAGCACTTAGTGTGAGTAAGAGCCTAAGTTTCCAGCACCACAACCATTGATAACAGCAGCAACAAAACTCACAGGATAAAAACAACTCCATCTAGATAGCATAGCTCCTCCTGGAAACACAAAGATTAGGGCTCTGTGGTTAAAGCATTTGTTGCTCTTGTAGAGTACCCCAGTTTGGTTTCCCAAACCCAGGTTGGGTGGCACTCAACCCCCTGGAACCCCAGCTCAAGGGAATCCAACACCTAGTTTTGGCCTCTGCAGCCTCTAGCACACATGTACGCACACCTCCCCTGCCTCCCTGCTACATACATAACACAGACATAAATATATATTTAAAAAAACGTCTTTTAAAAATTTACCAAAACGGGAGACTGGGTAAAGTGCCCATTGTGCAATCATGAGGACAAAAGGGTGGTGGCCTGAGGATGGCCCCAAAAGGCTGGCTCTTACGCTTGGTCATTAGGGAGTGGCACTACACGAGAGAGATTAGGAGGTGTGGCCTCGTTGGAGGAGGTGTGGCCTCGGAGGAGGTGTGGGCTCGTTGGAGGAGGTGTGTCACTGGGGTAGGCTTTGCAGATTCAGATGTAGAACACTCAGCTATTTCTGCCTATGTATGCCGTGTTCCTAGGTGCTGCGGTTACAGGCACACACACACCACTGTGCCAGGCTTGAACTGTCATACCTCGTGCTCCACTGCCCTATGAGTCCATGTCTTATCAACTACTTCTTTGGTGATTATAGTAAGTACAAAAGACAGGCAGACCCGAAGTTGATCTGAAACCTGGTTTTCCTTTACCGAGTAACAACATCACAGAGGTACCGGAAGGACGAATCGGGAAATGTGTGTTAACAATTATCAGAGGCTTGTCACATAGAGAGTCTGCTCAGGCCCTGTCTCCTGGGACTTCCTTGTCAGCAGTGTGTTTCAGAGCCAGCAAATCTGCTTCTGTTGTGTGAATTCTTTGCATACCACTTACGCTAAGGCTCAACTTCCCTTTGTAAAGAAAGCAGAGACGTAGGGCTGTGAAAACAACATGGAGGAAGGCAGCCCAATGCCTTGCTGGTAGTAAATCATAGGAAGTCATTTGGCTTTCCCTGTCCCCTACACACTTAGTAAATAAACTGGCTTTCTCTCTCCTCGGAGCTCCAGGGAAGGAAAGCCTGGACTAACTTGGTGACAGTGTTCCAGGAGAGCAAGCAAGAGACGGGGCAGAAAAGCCTGGTCCGGTGCTGGTTCCAAAGGCTCTGAGCTCAGCTATGACCCTCCCAGGAGCCCCTGTGGAGACTGACCTTGTTGACATGGTTTCCAGGGTGTGACCTGCTCTGAGAAGAGCCTATGGTCAGCCTTAATGAGGTTTGAGAGAGGACCTTTTTCTAAGACTTAAAAGCCTTTTAATATCAAGTGGAAAATAAGCCTTAAAAACCTCATTCACCATAATATGAAAAATAAATTCTTCAATTTATTTTAATAGTACAGGGAATTTCTCTATATAAGAACAACATGGGGTTGGAGAATTAGCCTAGGAGCAGGATGACTTACCCTACCTCACACAAA